CATAAGGGTGGTGTCATCTGCATATCTGAGGTTATTGATATTTCTCCCGGCAATCTTGATTCCAGCTTGTGCTTCTTCCAGCCCAGCATTTCTCATGATGTACTCTGCATATAAGTTAAATAAGCAGGGTGACAATATACAGCCTTGACGTACTCCTTTTCCTATTTGGAACCAGTCTGTTGTTCCATGTCCAGTTCTAACTGTTGCTTCCTGACCTGCATACAGGTTTCTCAAGAGGCAGGTCAGGTGGTCTGGTATTCCCATCTCTTTCAGAATTTTCCACAGTTTATTGTGATCCACACAGTCAAAGGCTTTGGCATAGTCAATAAAGCAGAAATAGATGTTTTTTTAGAACTCTCTTGCTTTTCTGATGATCCAGCAAATGCTGGCAATTTGATCTCTGGTTCCTCTGCCTTTTCTAAAACCCAGCTTGAATATCTGGAAGTTCATGGTTCACATACTGTTGAAGCCTGGCTTGGAGAATTTTGAGCATTACTTTGCTAGTATGAGATGAATGCAATTATGCAGTAGTTTGAGCATTCTTTGGGATTGCCTTTCTTTGGTATTGGAATGAAAACTGACCTTTTCCAGTCCTGTGGCCACTGCTGAGCTTTCCAAATTTGCTGGCATATTGAGTGCAGCACTTTCACAGCATCATCTTTTAGGATTTTAAATAGCTCAGCTGGAATTCCATCACCTTCACTAGCTTTGTTCATAGATGACCCTTATGCTTCTAGGTAAATCCTACCCAATCTTCATGTCTCTACTTGATGGTCATTTCTTTACTCTCATAACATCCTGTAAGTTAACTCTGGAAGATAAATCACACTAATTTGTCTTCCCCACAGACTATCAGTTTCATGAGGTGCAAGTACCAAGTCTATTCAATTCTATATCCTCAGTTCCTGGCCACTAGTATGTGCCTAATAAATATTACTGGAAATATAAGTAACTGGAGGTCTAATGAGTGACTATATCCAGGAATTCACATGTGGAAATGTCACAAATATAGTTAGAAACAATAAGCAATAGAATGTTCTTTGGATGGTTAACTATACAACTTTTCAGTTTATTTTAACTAGAAGAGCATTTTCCATGTTAAAAATTAAAAAACAAAAAAATACATGACCATTATATTTTTTACCCAATGGGATATATAATGATGTTCCAAAAAGGACATTCTTTCTTAACCTGACCAGAGGAACTTGCTGTATTAGAGGTTGTAGTTGCTAGGGACAATAAATTTAGGCAGGTTTAGAACATCCCTTCATATAAGTACTACTTCAAAAAAGAAAAACATTACAAATGAACTCAGCTTGATTTTCCAAGTATGAACCACTAACCAAAAGAGTATAAATTCATCACCAAGGGTATAAAGAAAAAAAATCTACCAAAAGCAAAATTTCAGTATTCCATACATATTGAAGGATTCAAATTCATCACAAAACACTATTAATATTATGAAATACCATGGTATCTATGAATGGTCATTTAAATTAGGGTAAATCTAGTAAATTAGCACTCAAACCAATTTCATGAAATACTGTCTTAAAATCATGACTTTAATGTACAGAAGCTTTTTACAAACTCTTGAATAGATGAAAAAATGTAAGGGAAAGTTCTAATTATTAACAAATGTTTAGAATGACATAAGCAGCTCAGTGAAAATACACAGGTATAGTTAATGTAGTCTCTGGCAAAAAACATTATTATTTGTTCAGTGACAATTACCTGCCCGAGGGCAATGCCAACGAAGTCTATACCAGTGGATCTAGATGCTACACTGAGCCTGCTTCCCCAGCTTTAGAACAATCTGGTCCTTCACTTCTATTGCATGATAACTCCTGATAATCTGCTTTAGTTGTTTCCTTACTTAGAATCCGAAGAATATGTCACTAATGCGAGGTGCTTTTATAGGTACACCCTAATCTCATTAAGGCCCACAAGTGGGCTTTTAAAAACTGCTTTCTACATAGGCCAATTGGTCATGCTTGCATTTATTTCTACTGTGCTTTATTGGAGACTTGGATTTGAAAAGGATAAGTGAAAGCTTAGCGTCGTAGACAGTCAGCAGCAGCCTTCCTGGAATGATTCATCTCTGTAAGGAGGTAGAAAGGTAGATCAAATGACATTTCTAAGATTTTTCCAGACTTATGCTATAACTATTAAGAGAATGTTTTATGCTTGGGACTGGCAAACTCCTTTCCTGGGATTTATCATTATGTGTGAGTGCAGACTTTTAGGCTATACATCCCATACCGTGCTTAAGACACCTAAGGGCTAAAAAATGTTTATTATCCCCTGCCAGTTAGCTCAGGGGGCTGGAGAAGTGCTCTGAAGAGGCCAAGTCACAAGCCTCATCTCTGTGGAAGCCAGTTAGTGTCAAAGAAAAGATCTGTTCCCTGGCTGAAGTTCACACCTTGAATCTCAGCCAGCTCTGGCCACAGAAAAACTTGGTTCCTCTACCGTTGATCATAGGAGCAATCAGGAAAGAGAATGTAGATGGATCAATGCAAAACCATCATCACTCTAGGGGAGAAAATCTAAATAAAATCATTTCCTCTTGACTGGGTCAACAACATCTTCTTAGACGACCTTATGTCTTTTACAACTTGATACAATTATTTTTTTTGTATCCTTAAATCCCTTCCTACATGTTGGTTATTCTTGGAATGCTGATGTTGACAATAGTCTGAATCTGTATTATATATGGGCCATGGAATGACATGAACTTCATAGAGAACATGTATTTCTTGGCTATAGTCATGACGATATAATGGATTGCCTGACTCATACTTGAAATGAGCTGCAGCAGGCTATATATACCCACTTCTCCTTTCACTAGGTCTCTTTCCAGTTCATGGCCACATGTAGATGGCTCTTTAATCTTTAATGAAAGATACACCAGGCTTTCCACCCTAGATTTAAATGAGAGAAAAAAAAAAACAGACCAAAATAGCTAAATTTAATCCTCAATCTCAGAGAATGGGGAAGAAGCCCAACCTTTTCATTTCACATTTCCTTGCCTCAAATACCTCTCTCAGAAATTCACATTCTCCTTGCCTTATTTAATTCAGGCCTCAATGAAAAATTTCAGCTCTTTCTGGAGTACTTCCCAAAGCATCATTTCTACCGTGACATTCTTCTGGCCCCAATCTTTGTCTCCTTAGCTTGCTTTATTTTCTTTATAGCGCTTATCTCTATCTGATATTAGATTTGGTACTTCCTTGTTTGTCCTTTTTGTTCCCAACTATATTTCTAATGCTAAAACAATACCTGGAATCGAATAGATTTGCTCAATAAATAGTTATTGGAAATGATTTGGTGACTATAAACATAAGGGCTTCCCTGGTGGCACAGCTGGTTAAGAACCCACGTGCAATGCAGGAGACCTGGGTTCAATCCCTGGGTTGGGAAGATCCCCTGGAAAAGGGAACAGTTACCCACTCCAGTAGTCTGGTCTGGAGAATTCCATGGACACTATAGTCCATGGGGTCTCAAAGAGTCAGACATGACTGATCAACTTTCACTCACTCACTCATGAACATAATACAATAAGTGGACATTGTAACAACAATAAAATGGCATGTGTATATAGTGACCAACTTTGGTTTATTTTGAGACACAGCTTCCTTCCATTTACCCAGTGTTACCATCTTCCAAGGAAAAGTTGCTCAACATCATTAGCCATAAGGATATTACAAAGCAAAACAATGAGCTACCACTTCACACACTAAGATAGTTATAATAATCAAAAAAAAAAAAAGAAACAGAAAACAAGTACAGTGAGGATGTGGAGACACTGGAACCCTCACACATTGCCAGTGACAATGTAAAATGGTTCAGCTGCTGTGGAAAACAATTTGATGGTTACTCAAAAACTTAAAGATAGAATTATGATATAACCCCATAATTCTACACCTTCATATCACCCCTCCACAAATTGAGAATAGTTATTCAAATAAATGCATGTATATGAAAATCCACATATTCATACCAGGACTATTCACAATAACCAAAAAGTAGCAGCAGCACAAATGTCCATCAAATAATGAATGAATAAACACATTGTGATATATCCATACAATAGAACACTATTCAGGCATAAAAAAGAATGAAGTGCTGATACCTGCTACAACACAGATGAATCTCAAAAGTATTATGTTAAGTGAAAGAATCCAGGCACATGAGTCACATGTATGATTCTATTTATATTAGATATACAAAAGTACTTAAATCCATAGAGATAGAAAGCAGATGGGCATTTGCCAGAGACTGAGAAGAGGACAGAGTGGAAAAAAACTACATAATGAGTAGCAGGTTTTAGTTTGGAGTGATGGAAATGTTTTGAAACTATATAAACAGAGGCATTTGTTACCAGCATTGTAAATGTTCTGAATGCCACTGAATGCCAATGAAGTTTTCATTTTAAAATGGCCATTTCATATTCTGTAAATTTTGCCTCAATAATTCATTTTTAAAATGCATTAAGTTATTAAAAACATAACCTACAATCCCATATGCACACGTGCATGCTCAGTCATTCAGTCATGTCCAACTCTTTGTGACCCCATGGACAGTAGCCCGCCAGGCTCCTCTGTCCTTGGAATTTTCCAGGCAAGAATACTGGAGGAGGTTGTCATTTCCTCCTCCAGAGGCTCTTCCTGACCCGGGGATCGAACCCGGGTCTCCTGTGTCTCCTGCATTTGGCAGGAGGATTCTTTACCACTGAACCACCTGGGAAGCCCACAATCTCATATACACCTCTTCATAAACTCTGCACTCTTTTTTTGGAGAGGAGAAGTGAAATGAGGAGAAGCTGATTCTGAGAAGGCTACTTTGGACAAAGAAAGGTCAGACTCTTTTCCTGGCTCATAGTCATTATGGTAATTATTTCATAAGATGAAGTTTCCATTTCTCCCGTGTCTCAAGTTCATTCTAACACATTTCCTCTGGCTTAGTGACAGACTATTTAAACATATGTTTCTTGTATTTTACAGACATACTTGGCAAGTTCAAGACAAAATCGATGCAAACAATGTGGCTTACACAACTGGGAAGCTAAGCTTTCATACTGATTATCCAGCCCTCCATCATCCACCTGGGGTAAGGTGAGCCTCAACATGTTTTCCACAAGGCAGGCCAAGGACCAATATTCTCCTGTATTTTGAGCTTAGAAAACTGTATGTTTCACTAGCTAATTTGTCTTAATGTAGATCTTTCTCCAAACACAATCCAAGCTTACAAAATCTCTGTACCTAAATCTTTAACAGCCTCACATTCACAAGGGATAGGAGATTTCCATGTATTTTTTTTTTTTTTACATTTCTTCATTTCTCCCTGGAAATAACTACTGGCACTTACTACTTTGCAGAGACATTTTACTACAGCAGTATATCTTGAGCTCTTTTTGAACATTTAACATTCCCTGGAGAGTTGAAAAAGAAAATAAAACCAGGGGACACAATGTAGAGTTTTTCCCACAAAGTCACATGGCTACCATTCCTATCAGTTAACTATTGCAGTAAAAAACAGCAACAACAAATGAACAAACAAAACCACTCCATAACTTACCAGCTTAAAAGCGCAGTCATTGACTTATGTTTTCACAATTTCGGCTATATTCAGTTGAGTAGTTCTGCAGCTGCTGAGTCTGCAAGGGACTGGTTGACCTAGGTGGTGGCCGAGATGACTTGTCCCTGCCCCATCTGATCTATCATCTCCCCCCACCCGCACCCCGGGTGGCCCATGCTTATGCATATAGCAGGTAGCAGGGTCTCCAGAGAGCATGCTGAAACATACAAGGCCTCTTGAGACCTAGGCTAGCAATCAGCACAGTGTCCATCTCTGCCACATTTTCATGCTTTTTTGGTCGAAGGTTTTAGCCTAGACTCAAGGGGTGGAGAATCCTAGGAATATGGTCGCACAGAGTCGGACACAACTGATGTGACTTAGCAGCAGCAGCAGCAAGGGCTGAAGAAGTAGAGGCCACCTTTTGTGGGAGAGGCTGCAAATACATACCACAAAGGGGTGTGAATGCAAGAAGCAGAATAACTTTGGTTGTTTTGGGAAACCATCTACTGTCCCATCTGTCTGATTCTTCATCAAGGAGGGAGATGTTCACCATGGAGCACAGATCCTCCAGATTTTCTGGAAGCCTCCCCGTCTATTACCTTGTTAAACATTACCATCTTACTAAACAGCTGCATTTTTACAAAAGCATCATTTTGCTAAACCAAGAAATTAATGGTCAGAAAACTATCTTTGAAAAGAGATTTTGTTCCTATTTTTAGAGCTAAATGCAACTAAAGAAAATAGCCCCACAGAAATTTGTATCTTCAAAGATAAGGAAAGTGGAAATTTGGGGTAATTCTCTAGCTAACGAAGGTGAAATGGGGGAAAATCAAAATTCATCTGTGTTTTTCATCATATTAACTGGACACACTGTCTTCATGCCTTTGTTACCCATTGTCGTCATCAGTATTAACTAAGCTAGGCTAGTATTTTACTTCACCTGTTTTAAATTACTTTGCTGATTGTAAAATACCACATGATTTCTTGGAACTAAATGCGACAGTGGAATGACCCTCAATAGTCACCTTTTCAGGAATGGGTTGAGGGGAAGACACACAATATGATTTGTTTTAAATGTGGCCCAGAAATTTTCTAAAACCCTGGGGTTAAAACCCAAACTAATCATCTCAGTTCATTTGCCAAAGACAAGTTGAAGCAGTCAAAGGGAATAAAGTTCTTAAAATTAGACTAGAAAACTAGATTCTATTTGAATTTTTAAATTACCTGATTTTTTATGAATTTATGTTTTGTTTCAGGGTTAAAATTGAAAGCCTACAGAAAAGTGATCAAGTGACTTCATAAACATTCCTGAAGTATAAAGTTTGACATTTTCATAGTATTTTATATTACACTTTCTGTATTTTATATTCTTTCAAAGCATTTTTACTTATATTGCTTTATTTGATGCCTCTTAGCATTCCTTCAAGTTAAACAGAAACAATCATGTCTTTTTATGTTAAATGAAGGTACCCAGCATGGTTAAATACTTTCACAGGGTGAGTTATAGGGAACTCGAACTTGAAACAAGGCCTCCATCAAAATTGTTAACCACATCATAGGGATCCTGAGTTGGACTTTATAATTACCATAATTTCTGTAACATGCTGACTATTTATAGACATTGTCATACATTACAAATACACAAAATACAGGAATTGAATCTTTTACTTCCATGTTATTTCAAAACTTAGCCCAATACCTTAGATGTAATAGAGACTTAATGAATATGCTAAAAAGAAGTTTAAAATGCCACAAAGTTGTACCAATCCTTACCAGCAAGTGAAAGGTCCAAATCTAAATAAACTGATATATTTTTTAAATAAAAAATGATTCCTGAAATGTTTAGATTCTGGTAAAATAATGATTGAAATTCAGGTACCTGCTTGTGCTATTGTTTCCACTTGGAATTATTCAAAGGTTTCTGAACCAAAGTTTGAGTTCTTTTATAACGAATAGAATAAATCAATATTCTTTTCAGTACAGATGAAATGATCTGGATAGTGAGTTACCTGTTGAGAGTTCAGTTTAATCAATTTCAATCATATGGGGCAGGATAAGGAGACATATCTTTAATGAAACACAGATGTTGTTTCATTCACTGTCTCTGGGCCAAAAGTCACATGCTGCCATAAAGTAACATTTAAAAAGAAAATATTTTTGGTTCTGAATGACTTACATGACATCAAATTGGGCTTTATACACCCCAGGCATATATTTACCTTTTGAATGTGCAATGAAAGTGTTGTTTGGGTCCTTCATCTTTTTTCTTTCATAGGATTGCATTAAAATGTACATATACAAAAGAAGATTATTAGTTGGCCTTGCCATATGTAAAAGACATCAGTTGACCTTTGTTTTAGAGATTTACATTTGAAATATTCTGTGACTTCTTTATGGCAGAGTCTAAAAAGGATTTGAAGAACACAGACTCTACCACAGACCAACTTATGTTATTGCTTTGCCTTCTTGGAGTTTGAGAAACTTGAGGTTGATATTTCCATTTCATATTCTTTTTAATCATGCTGCTTCACCCCTCATTGCCTTGGCAATGAGATGATTTTCTATAATGACTTGGTCAGTTGATGCACATATTTTCAAGATCAAAAAGAAGACATCAATTTAAGGATGATTAATTATTCATTTAGGTAGTTCTCTCATAATAGCTGAAAATGAGGTGTCATCAATCTAAAAATAGAAGTTTAAGTTTACAAAACACAACGCACACACCACACAATACTGAATTACTAACTGTACTATAAAGGGACTTCTCCCTTCACAGGAAAGGAACTTGCTGTCTGAGGATTTGAAGCACAAAGGCCAAGGTTGAACACTAGTTTTGCCATATATTAGCAGAGTTCTTACCAGCTGGCCAGTTTTTACACCTGAGTTCCAGTTTCTTCCTCTACAGAATGGCAATGAAACTATCAAATTCTAAGGACTGTTGTAGGGAATGAATAAATAAGCATTTGTTGTTCAGTCACTCCATCCTGTTTGACTCTTTGGGACCCCAGGGACTGCCCCCACACCAGGCTTCCCTGGCCTTCACTATCTCCCGGAGTTTGCTCAAACTCATATCCATTGAGTCGATGTTGCCATCCAACCATCTCATCCTCTGTCTCCTCCTTCTCCCCCAGCCCAACACCATAGTTTAAGACCAAGTGTATATTAGATTTTAAATAGAACTTCTGCATGGTTTTGGAAGAAGGCAGGATTTCCCACAGCCACACGTTGGGAGAAGTCACATGTGGCCTCTTCGGACGGACACATTCGGTTTGTTTTGAACACATGTTCATTGTATAGCTGTTACGGATGAGGCACTCTGTAAGAGTCAAAGCGGGGTAGGGGATATTGTTTCCGCCCTCCAGGAGCTCACAGTTTACAAAGGGATGGGCCAGAGGAGATTCTGTCCCCAAAAAGCAGAATCGGCACCAGGGCAAGAGCTTCCTCAATAAACACAGATACCAAATGCTGCCTGGGTCATGCCGAATGGGGGCTGTTCGGGGAAGAAGTGAACTAGTTTCTGAGGTTCTGAGATCAGTCAGGCACAGATTAGAGGCAGGCATTCCAACAGAGGGAGTGGCTTGCTGGCAGAGGGAGAGTAAAATAGATAGAATATTCTTTTGGGGGGAAAAAAAAACCTGTAAACATTCATCATGTTCTATAATAATCTATGTGGGAAAAGAATCTGAAAAAGAATGGATATATGTATATGTGTAATTGAGTCACTTAGCTGTATGCCTGAAACTAACACAACATTGTAAAATTAAATATACTCCAATATAAAATAAAAATTAAATTTAAAAAATTAAATTTTTAAAAAGGATTTGTATTTTAGATCTGCACTATCCAATACAGTAGACACTAGTCATCCAGGATTAAGTTGTAATTTAAACTAATTAAGATTAAATAAAGTTTAAAGCTAAGTTTCTCAGACAAACTAACCACATTTCATGTGCACAATACACATGCAGGACTAGGGATGACTACATTGGGCTCATGGAAGAACATTTCCATCATCACAGAAAGTTCTAATGGGCAACACTTGCCCTAGCAATCCTCAGAGTTAGCCAAGTTAAGAGTTAGGCAAGCTAAATGGATATTTTTCCCACTTATGCTGGTATCCCCCTAGTCTGTGTATTTGATCGTATTTGCCTCTCCCTTTTTATAAAAATTGTCAGACATTGGTTTTTATTTTTATTTCATGAAGAAGGAAGTTTTCACAGCTGAAGAGTGTTAGTTTCTTTATGCAGAAAATCACAGTCTAAATTTAGATATTCAAAATCACCCACCCATGCTGACTTACTAAAAGGAATCACATAACCACACTCCATTCAAAAGGATATTATTTAAAATATTACCACATTTAGCTTTCCAAAATGAAATCGTATTATGCATTTTTCTCTAAATCTTAGTAAAAGTAATTAACGCTTACCATCCTTTTGGTTTCTCATTCCCACTATTTCTTGGGCTTATTCATCCTCAAAGCCTCATCCTACCTCATTCCTTTATCATTATACTTAACTACCTCCCCTGTGACTTGGGCTTCCCTTGTGGCTCAGCTGGTAAAGAATCCACCTGCAAAACAGGAGACATGGGTTTGATCCCTGGGTTGGGAAGATCCCCTGGAGAAGGGAAAGGCTACCCACTCCAGTATTCTGGCCTGGAGAATTCCACGGACTGTATAGTCCATGGAATAGTCGCAGAGTCAGACACGTGAAAGTGACTTTCACTTTCATTGCATTAGATCCTCAAGTAGTTACTCTCTTACAAGTTATTCCCTTAAAAAAATTGTATCCCTTGTTAACACCACTGTACTAATAATTTTCAAAAAGCCTTTACCAATTCCTCTCTGTGCACAACAAAAATAAATTCAAAATGGATTAAAGATCTAAATGTAAGACCAGAAACTATAAAACTCCCAGAGGAGAACATAGGCAAAACACTCTCTGACATAAATCACAGCAGGATCCTCTATGACCCACCTCCTAGAATACTGGAAATAAAAGCAAAAATAAACAAATGGGACCTAATGAAACTTAAAAGCTTTTGCACAACAAAGGAAACTATAAGCAAGGTGAAAAGACAGCCCTCAGATTGGGAGAAAATAATAGCAAATGAAGCAACAGACAAAGGATTAATCTCAAATATATACAAGCAACTCCTCCAGCTCAACTCCAGAAAAATAAATGACCCAATCAAAAAATGGGCCAAAGAACTCAACAGACATTTCTCCAAGGAAGACATACAGATGGCTAACAAACACATGAAAAGATGCTCAACATCACTCATTATCAGAGAAATGCAAATCAAAACCACAATGAGGTACCATTACACGCCAGTCAGGATGGCTGCTATCCAAAAGTCTACAAGCAATAAATGCTGGAGAGGGTGTGGAGAAAAGGGAACCCTCTTACACTGTTGGTGGGAATGCAAATTAGTACAGCCACTATGGAAAACAGTGTGGAGATTTCTTAAAAAGCTGGAAATAGAACTGCCATATGACCCAGCAATCCCACTTCTGGGCATACACACCAAGGAAACCAGATCTGAAAGAGACACGTGCACCCCAATGTTCATCGCAGCACTGTTTATAATAGCCAGGACATGGAAGCAACCTAGATGCCCATCAGCAGACGAATGGATGAGGAAGCTGTGGTACATATACACCATGGAATATTACTCAGCCATTAAAAAGAATTCATTTGAATCAGTTCTAATGAGATGGATGAAACTGGAGCCCATTATACAGAGCGAAGTAAGCCAGAAAGATAAAGACCATTACAGTATACTAACACATATATATGGAATTTAGAAAGATGGTAACGATAACCCTATATGCAAAACAGAAAAAGAGACTCAGATGTATAGAACAGACTTGTGGACTCTGGGAGAAGGCGAGGGTGGGATGTTTCAAGAGAACAGCATTGAAACATGTATATTATCTAGGGTGAAACAGATCACCAGCCCAGGTTGGATGCATGAGACAAGTGCTCGGGCCTGGTGCACTGGGAAGACCCAGAGGAATTGGGTGGAGAGGGAGGTAGGAGGGGGGATCGGGATGGGGAATATATGTAACTCCATGGCTGATTCATGTCAATGTATGACAAAACCCACTGAAATGTTGTGAAGTAATTACCCTCCAACTAATAAAAATAAATGAAAAAAAAAAAGTCCAATCTTTCATTTGACATTCAACACTTCCCCTAACTAGATCCCAAATTACCTTTCCAAGTGGATTACTATTTCCAGTTGTAACCCTCTACTGAAGCCAGATATTTTGAGACCCAGTGAAGTGTGCGTTTTTGCACACCCATCAACACTGCCAAGTGATTTGCTCTCGCTGTTCTAGTCTATGTATCCAAAATCTTATCCCTTCTACTTTGCCCAAATTAAATTCCATTTCTTCTGTAAAGCCAACAGGAAGTGCTCATTCCCTACTGCTCTTACAATCTGTGCCTTTTGTTTACAAACAAACATTGTTTGATTGCATCCTTGTCTTAAACTGTAACACTATTTGAACAGCAAACTTTTGATTTGAAGCAACTTTTTTCCCTAACCTCTTTCTCTGTTGACACAAGTGATAGATATAAAAGTATATTACCTTTATGAATCTTTCTTTAAAGCTGTCAAAAATGTAGGTGCATGCCATTTTAAAACATGGTTCTCTGTTTCTATTTCTAGGTTCAGCTTCTGCACTGCATAAAGCAAACCGTCACTGGGGGTGAATCAGAAATTGTAGATGGATTCAACGTATGCCAAAAGCTCAAGGAAAAAAATCCTCGAGCATTCCAGATTCTGTCCTCCACCTTCGTGGACTTTACAGACATTGGAGTGGATTACTGTGATTTCTCTGTACAATCCAAACACAAAATTATAGAGTAAGTACTGTTTCTAAGTTTCTCATCTCAATAAAACAGTGACAGCAAAAGCTTCATTAACCTAAAGCTTAAACAGAAAAATCCAATTCATTTCTGAACTTTACTTTATATTAACTGTTTAGCCCAGTTCTCGAATGAAGGAGGAAAAAAAAGAACCCTTTCACCATAAAAATTAAAAAAAATCAAACTCCATGGAATCTCTGTTCTTAATCGATAGAAGTAACTAACATTTTTAAAATTCTGCATAGTTATAGTGAGTGTGATTGTACTAATCAGGACCCTTTCAGAAGTAAAAGAATATAACTCAAGCTGGGTAGTCTAGGAGTTGAAAACTATCATCTGATATTGATCTTTTATTTTTTCCTTCATGTCTTAGCCAACACATCCTCTGTGTTGGCTTCATTTTTAAAGATAATCAGTAGAAGCTCCAAGTTTTCATTGCCCTTAGAGCTGGTAATGACAGGACACACAAAAAACTTATTTTCCAATAGCTACAGCAAAGATGTAGACTCGCTGCCCAGAACGTGTTTAAGCCTATCCTTGAAGAATTGCCATGGCTAGGAAGTCAGAGAATTCTGATGGGCTGTCCCTGGATCACATGTTCATCTCCAAAGAAAAGTCAGCCTCATCTGTACCACAAGGGCAGAGAAAGAAACGATAACACCTCCCCAGATTGATGACAAAAAAATCTTATGTTCCCTACACAGAACTTTTTGTGTTCTTTTTTTGTTTAGCATTATTTCATAAGAGAGTATCCACAAAGGCCACCCAAGTACCTTATATTTGAAAATTAACCTACATTGTTTTTTCTAGGACATATTTGATTTTATCTGACCTTAATGAATTTTGAGGTGTTTCAGTTTTACAAATGAATTTGTATTCTTCTTTTAGGAGAAATAACCAAATAATATGAAATAAACTCATCTAATAAATAATCAAATCCCCAATATACTAACTCAGCTTTCTTAAATATACACATGGTCGTCATTTATTCATTCAACAAATATTTACTGAGGCCATTCACTCTTGTTGGTGCATGGGATACATTGGTAAACAAAACAGTTTCCTGTCCTCATGAAGCTTACTTACTAATGGGGGAGGGGAGAATTAGAAATTTTTAAAATAAATGAGGAAATTGAAATGAATGTTAAGATATTTTAAGTGTTTAAGAAACAAGGAAAAGTAAGGCAGGTTAGGGGAGCCTATAGAGCCAAAGACTTGGGGAGGATAAAATTTGTATCATTAAATAGTGTTTCAGTTGAACTTCAATACTTTGACCACCTGATGTGAGGGCTGACTCATTTGAAAAGACCCTGAAAGACTGAGAAAGATTGAGGGCAGGTGGAGAAGGGGATGACAGAGGATGAGATGGTTGGGTGGCATCACCGACTCGATGGACGAGTTTAGGTAAACTCCAGGAGTTGGTGATGGACAGGGAGGCCTGGTGAGCTTCGATTCATGGGGTCGCAAAGAGTCAGACATGGCTGAGTGACTGAACTGAACTGAACTGAACTGAAATAGTGTTTCAAGGACAAGCTTTACTGAGTAGGTGATATTTGAGCAAAACTTAAGAGTAAAGGAGTTTGTCCAGAAAATGAGCAGTTTCCAGAAACAGCTAGAGCAAAGATCCTAGGATGATCCTAAGAAGATGCTTGGTGTGGTCAAGGAACCACAAGAAGCCACTCTGTGGGGCAGAGTGTTAAGAGAGGAGGACAGACAGTTGTCAGTTCATATAAAGCTGTGTTAACCATCATAAGAACACTGGTTTTCACTTTTAGTGAAAGATTTTGACCAAAAGAGAGACATCTATATTCATATAAAGTTATTGACATTTTTAGTGGATCACCCTGGCCGCTGTGCTCAGTACAGTGTAGGAGAACAAGGGCAGGAATAAGAAGTCCGGCTAAGGAGCTCCTATGGGACTGCAGGTCAGAGCCGAGGGTACCTCGAACATAAGTGGTCCTGGGGGTGACAGCAGCAGGGTGGAGAAGAGTCCTCTTTGGGAAATAGTTTTGCATATTTAATCAGCATATTTCCATGAAACATTGGATGAAAGGTCTGAGAGGAAGACAGACTTAAAAAAATAAATCCTGGTCCAAAGTAACATCATCCAAGAGGTCAGTCATCAAGAATGGAAAAGAGAAGGAATAACTCTCAGGCTTCTTAGGTTTAACATGATAGTTTTAAATATTTAAAAGACCATTACAAATTGTCATTTTGTTATGACACAATATGATTACAGATTCTGCAAGGCTAGTGAGCAGAGGCAAAAAAAAAAAACTTAGCTATTCAGTGAGGTTAACCAAATAGCCATCATCTGAATCATAATTTGGCTTTGTTATTTTTTTTGTAATGAAATTCCAGAATTTGGTCATTATCAAGGTCTCAGAGATATCCCTAGAGAATGTCAAGTGTTTAACATTAATTCACTTAAAATCTGTTTTTAGCAACAGAAGATGAAACAGAGTTTTCGGTTAATCAAGGTTTTCAGTATTCTGATTGTTTGGATTAATTTTCCTAGTGGTTAAACTTTTTCACTCTTTTGATATGCTTATTCCCTATTTAATACAAAAAGATCTTGGAGGCTGCTGAGAAAATTAAGTATCCTGCAGTACAATCAATAATAAATAAATAAACCAGGATAAAAATAATAATGGTGATTAAAAAAATAATAATATTTGTCGATTAAGCTATAGCAGTGCAACCTAGTGGTTACAAATCCAGTCACATGAACACAACTCCTTCTTTTGTTGTCTGTATGCTGTTGGTCAAATGACTTATGCTTGCTAAGCCACAGAAAGGAATAATTGTCAGTAAAAAGAAAAAATAAGGAGTAATATGAATACCTGTGCTGTGCTGTGCTTGGCCACTCAGTTGTGTCTGACTCTTTGTGACTCCATGGACTGTGGCCCGCCAGGCTCCTCTGTTCATGGGATTCTCCAGGCAAGAATACTGGAGTGGGTTGCCATGCCCTCTTCCAGGGGATCTTCCCAACCCAGGGATTGAATCCAGGTGTCCCACACTGCTGGTGGATTCTTTACCATCTGAGCCACCAGGGAAGCCCAAGAATACTGGAGTGGGTAGTCTATCCCTTCTCCAGGGAAACCTCCTGACCCAGGAATCGAACTGAGGTCTCCTGCACTGCAGGTGGATTCTTTTCCAGCTAAGCTACCTAGGAAGCCAGTGTTAATACCTACCACATAACAACTGCAGTGGGAATTATAGAGAAAATATACAGACAGACTTGTCACAATGCCTGACTCAGAAAGAGCAGAATAAATTTTAACTAGCTATCATTTTCATAATCCAACCTATTTACTGGTGATAGATTTTAATTTCAGCTCTGAGTTTCTAATGACCAAAACAAGACAGGAACATAATGAATTTGCAAGATGCTCTTAAGATATAAAATTTTCTTGCATAAAACATGATGTGGTAGGCAAGACCATAGTAATATTCTCATAACACATTCACATCATATCACTCTCAATGAGAAATAATATTTTAACTAGTGAAGAGAATCTACAGCACCCCACTTGAATTATAGATGATTCACCAGTCTTCACTGGGCTCTTTTATGGGCATCTCTGAAGAGGTTTTGCATTTGCTAGTTTGCAGTCACGATGTTGCTGATTTATGTTTAAATGCTTGTCCTGCATACATGGCTAGTATATAGCTGGTTATTCCCCAGCTTTGGGCTTTTCACCCTTCCTCAGCATATAAAAAGATGTCCTGTTCATTAAAAGGGACTGGAATGCAAAAGTAGGAAGTCAAGAGCTACCTGGACTAACAGGCAAATTTGGTCTTCGAGTACAAAATGAACTGGGTCAAAGGGTAACAGAGTTTTGCCAAGAGAACGCTCTGGTCATAGCAAACACCCTTTT